CCTCCTTATTCGGCCGAGTGTGGTCGATTGCGTGAACCGGCACAATCACTCGGTGAGGGTTGGTTGGGTCGGGCGAGCGGCGTGACCTGTCAGTAGAGGGCCCGTCTGCTACTGACTCCTAGCGTTTCCCTGCTGCTTGGTCTGTTTCTGCTGCTCAGCTTCCCCCTTCCCCTTAGCGTTTTCCGGGCATTCGCTCTTGCGATGTCCCGGCCGATTGCACGCAAAGCAGCGCCCTTTGAACGGTGCGGCAGCGGCGTTTGCGGCGACGGCACGTATCGTGGCGCCCTCATTCGTCCCACGAGGCCGATGTCCCCAATGGCTACTCCGTAGGACCCCGGTCTCGGTCTGTGAGAGTCGTAGGTAGAGTTAGGAGCCATAGCTAGGTAAGTCCTAGGTAGGCAAGTGAAAGTTTAGGCAAAGAGGGGTTTCACTAGCAGCAATGAGGATACATATAGCAAACCCTAGATGGGTTGTACTCGCTATAGAGCACCCCACTACAGGCTAGAGAATAACATTCTGACACACCCCCATAGCCAAAGTGAGGTGTAATCACTACAATGAGCAAGCAGGTATAGAGCAGGAGTTCACAAAGGTAAGCAAAGCTAGAGCTAATCACAGAGGGCAAGTGAGGAGGAGGAGAGACTGTGGAGGAGAGAAGATGGGAGGCGACTGCTGAAGCTGCAGACACACAGGAGCTGCTGGCTCAGTGGCTACCGAAGCTAAGGCCCGGACTACAGGAGTAACTGGCTCCGCGGAGATTGCAGCCTCCAGACCGGAGCAACTGACCCATAGGCGAATGGCGACTACCGGAGATTGTAGCCTCCGGACTGCTGGTGCTGCTGGCGACAAGACTGCTGCCTCCACTCAACCTCCCCCAACTGCCCAACGCCCCTCTCACACACCCCCTGCTCAAACCCTAGCTCCACTCCCACAGCACCCCCCCTTAAACCCTAAACCCCAGACTCCCACACATCCACCCCCCTCAGCGACAGCTGCAGCAGTGGGAGACGAAGGAGGAGGAGGAGAAGGGGACGGCGCGCATAACCGACACCCCCACAACCATCACCCCCACACTCCTCACCCCCAAAACCCTAAAACGCGTGGGATAGGGGCAAGAGCGCGGGGGATGGTGAGGGGGGGGACAGCGCGAGACCCCCAGGGCGCCAGAACGGACGGGCTGGGCGGGTGGAGGGGGGTGGCGCGCCTGCTCCCTAGGGCGCCGCGACGGACGGGCGGGGGGGACGGTCGCGCGGCTCCCCAGGGCACTGCGATGGCCTGACGGGGCGCGCGCAGGCTCCCGAGGGCGCCGCGACGAACTGACGGGGCACGCGGGGGCTCCTCAGGACGTCGCGACGAACGGGCGGGGCGCTCGCGGGCTCCCTAGTGCGTCGCGACGGACGGGTGGGGCGCTCGCGGGCTCCCCAGGGCGTCGCGAGGGACGGGCGGGGCGCTCGCGGGCTCCTCAGGGCGCCGCGACGGACAAGCAGGGCGCGCGCGGGCTCCCCCACGGCAGGAAACCGCCGCGCGCCTCGGGGCGCACGGCGGGCAGAAAACCGCCGCGCGCTCGGGGCGCGCGGCGAGATGAAAAATTGGAGGTCGCGCGCCACGGGGCGCGCGACACAGAGTAGGGCAGCGGAAGCAGCAGTAGGGCCCACAGGCCGGGAGCGTGAGTGCTCTGAAACCATGTGAGAGTAGTAGGTAGAGTTAGGAGCCATAGCTAGGTAAGTCCTAGGTAGGCAAGTGAAAGTTTAGGCAAAGAGGGGTTTCACTAGCAGCAATGAGGATACATATAGCAAACCCTAAATGGGTTGTACTCGCTATAGAGCACCCCACTACAGGCTAGAGAATAACATTTTGACACGGTCGGCGGAAGAAATCGAGTTTCTCCGCCATAGCGAGAATTTCTTGAAAGTCGGTGACGCCGCGAAGCTGGATTTCCTGAGCGATGTCCTGCTTCAGGCCGCCGATGTAGCGGTCGATGCGCTCGCTCTCGTGCATATATCCCACCTGCTCGCATAGCGCCAGAAATCCGCTCGTGTAGTCTTGGACGGAACCGAATTAGCGCCAAGTGCGGAGCTTCTGCCGCGCCGCGATCGAAGCCGCGATTGGCTCGAAACGAGCGCGTAGACCTGCGCACCACGCGTCCCACGTGCGATACTGGGGCACCTCCACGAAATACGACGGCGCCCAGTGTCCGGTTTGTCCTTCCCGTGTCGGTAGAGTCGCGTAGTCCACCGGCTTCGTGACGATGACGCGCCACCAGTCCATGGCGAGTCCTCGCATCAACGACACGGCGTAGCGAATTTTCGCCGTATCCTCCGAGACGTAGTTCGCGTCGAAGAAGGCGTTCAACGTGAAGAGCCACGCCTGAACGGTAGGACCACCCCGTTGACTTGGGTTAAAGCATGGCGGACGCTGCGGCTTTAGCGGCATCGGCGACGGAAGAGTTGATTCGCCGGCCGGCACTGGAATCGTGACTCGGGGTTGAGTCCTGGCCGCATTCGTCGTGTCGGGGTGTGTCGTGCCGTGGTCGTCGTCTCCGTCATGGCGGACGACGCCATCACTTGCGGCGCTCGCGGGTTGCCCCACACTTCCGTGCTGTGATGTCTGTGGTGCGGGCTGAATCGGAGTGCCCGGTGCTTGGGATTGTGCTCGTGTGAGGTCGTTTTGCAGGGCCGAGCGTTCTGCCGTTAGCATCGCAATTTCCTCGGCGCTCTCGCGGATTTGTCGCAGCAGATCGTTCAAGTACTCCTGCGTGAGAGTCGTGACGTCGATGTGTTCAGCCATTTCGAAGGGCGTCGGCTCGTCTTAGTCTAGGCGCAGTCGTGGCTGCACGCGTTTACGAGAGAACGCGAGGACAGCGGCTCCTAGGTGCTAAGGTACGTGAGTCCCTTCGAGTGAGAAATCAAAAGTTGATTTCCTGAGGTGCGGAGATGCGCGGTCCGAAAGAAAAGGGCTCTGAATACCAAGTGTTACGGGTGCAATGAATCGAAGTAGCGAGAATTGCACTAAGGTGTCAAACGAGTACCAAATGTGAGCGAAGGCATGAGCGAACATTTATACGCGAAACATGCAAACGGTAACGCGGTGCGTGCGAGCTTAGCTAGTGCTACGCTGGAGCAAGGCTTGGGCTAGTCCCGAAGCGTAGGCCGACACGGCCATGCCAGCAGTGCGAGGTTTGGTGAAAACAGTGTGCGCGAAGTAGGCGAAGCCCCGTTAGCAGTAACGGGCGAACAACGGCTGTTGTTGTACGCGATGTAGTCGGGCTCCGTAAGGAATGCCGAGAAAATTCCTTACAGTTTCTCAAAACGTTTTTAGAAACGATACGTTTTTGCACATCAAAGATGCGACAATGAGCCACACTTCGATGCTGGATACCAGCCACTGGCGAATTGCAAGCGGCTGTCGTTTTCGTACGGTACTCTTTTCTTGCACACGTACTGTACAAGTTACGTAGGTCTTTGTCGGGGCTGGGTCTGTCCGTCCACCACTTTTGACATCAAGCAAGTGAGCGATGTTGTGCGACCTTCTCATCCTTGGTTACCAGAAAACTACGACCTTTGCGATCTCGTACTGTGCGAAACCGGCTTGCTACAGTGAGGCATTCCGAACCAACCACCTGTTTTCCCTTTCTTTCATGGCGGCCCTAGATTATGCCGCCTAGGATCCTCCTGAAGCCTGAAAGATGTTTCGCCTTTGCTACCACTGTGATAAGTTGTGAGTAATGCGGAGTTGTCATTGTCAACGAATAATTTTGTTCAGAAATTGTGCCGCATATCGCGGATAACAAATTCGTTTATTTGGTCGACGGCTTATACCTGACTGCGAGTTCTGACCTAATGAGCCGAGCAGGCGCACCTCGTAGAGCTGTCATTGAGTAAATGACCAATGGGAACGCCAGGGGTATAGATTTCGTCTATTTGTGCATGGACATGCAACGATTTGCATCGCTAGCCAGTGCCTAATGCACGTTTAAGCAGCCTACGTTCTGGTTCCCCTCTTGTCGCTTATTTATGCTCTCGACCTCTCATCACTTTTAACGGTTCTCGTTGCCACCAGGCCCAAGTTTCTCTCGCATCCGTCACTTTTAGCCTGAGCCTTGTTCCTTCAAGTCTTCCAGCACCTAGTGGCGACGACGCTTTGCGTCGCAACAACCCGTGATTCTAACAACAACACCACTTATCGTGCTCATTTTATCGTCCTTAGCTTAGACTTCTCTCGGCGTGTCTCTCGCAATGAGTGGCCTAGACGCTCCCATGATGGACCTTCCGCGGCCCAGGTATCAAGGGGTGAGTTGCTCTCCTGACCTTCCTTGAAATGCCTTCAGATTTGATTCAGTGGGATGCTCGAGGCGAGCATGTCGGAATGAGAGACATAGACGTTCCTATTACAAGCTTCGTAGGAACCAGGGGGTGAGTTGGCCTCGTGACCTTCCACCAAATGGCCTGTGATGCCGTCCTTAGAAACAGCTTTGACCAAGAAAGTCCCTGGCAAAAAGCGGCTTAGTCGTTTCCGTGATGGTATGGGAGCAGCTCATATGTTGATTCGCTCTTTCTCGTTCTCTCTCCCGCACCTCCCCCCCACTTCGTCTCCTTTGGCCGCCGCGATGAATGCGTCCAATCACCATCCGACAGGTGTACAAGAGTGGCCATCTATCCGTCTCGTCGAAAGGTGAGCCTTCGCCAAAAGGGAAAACCAGGAAAGAAAACCATAGAGTCGTCTTGATGCCTCACGAGGAGCAGTGCTGACGTCGTAACGGAATTTTGAGCCATTGGCGTGTTTAACCATCCTGTGTGTCTCAACGAATTTTGAGCCATTGGCGTGTTTAACCATCCTGTGTGTCTCAACGAATTTTGAGCCATTGGCGTGTTTAACCATCCTGTGTGTCTCAACGAATTTTGAGCCATAGGCGTGTTTAACCATCCTGAGCGCTGCTTCTTTCCTTCTGCTCCCTTCACTTTCTCTGCATCCGATGTTTGCATCATTATTCTCTCTTACAAATGCTTGTCTCTCATACCTATCTGATATCGCTCTTCTCATGGCTTTTATCACTCCCCCCTTCTCCTTCCCGGTCTGGGGTGGAAATCATGGAAGCGGTGATGGTTCTTCTCCACTCTTTTCATTCTCCCCTTGATTCTCCCTCGACGCCCCTTCTCTCCCATTTCCCCGCATTTCCCTTTTCCACCATTTCTCGTTCCCATCAATCCTCGTCCCCACCAGGTCTGGGGTGGAAGTCATGGAAGCGGCGCTGGTTCCTCCTCACGCGCTCCTCCCTCATCTTCTTTAAGCACGAACCTGTGAGTGTGATTGTAACGACCCAGTGAGTGTGACTTTAACGAGCCAGTGATTGTGACCTGATAATTGATGCGATTTCGGTGCTTTCGAGTGTCACTGACTCACTTAACAGCTACTGACTTACCTCTCTCCTTAACCTCTTTATTCTCTTTCTGCTCTCCCTTTCCCTCCGCTCCTCGCAGAGGGGTCGCATTGACATCTCAACTGCAATAGGAGGCATCGAGTTCAATAATGCCGGCAAGTAAGTCCGCCTCTCCGTCCCTCTCACCCTCTACTTAGTCCCCGTCTGCCCTAGTCCCCATCTGCGCTACATTCTCATCACACATTATCATCCTATCTGTGCAATCTTGTGGTAATGATTTCCTCGTACGTCCTCTATGTGCGCCCATCGCATGTGTGCCACACACAGGGTGCACATCAAGCCCGACAAGAAGCAGCTCTCTCTCACCTTCTCCTCATCCTGGCTCTCTTGTTGTTCCACGTTTTCTAATGTGTGCGCCCCTTACGTGCGCCCATCATGTGCCCCCATTCCGTGTGTGCAATACACAGGGTGCACATCAAGCCGGACAAGAAACAGCTCTCTCTCACTTTCCCGGACGGCCATGCATTCACCTTTAAGGTCAGTGTCACGCGCTCTGCCTTGTCCCCCTCTCTTGTCCGCTGCGTTACCTTTTTTGAGGCGCCTAAAGAATAATTCACCTTTAAGGTCAGTGTCACACGTTCTGCCTTGTCCCCCTCCCTTGTCCGTTGCGCTACCTTATATAGTCCGTGGTATTGGCATGCCCCCTGTTCCCATCACCCCCTGTCCCTTCACAATGCGCTACGCCTATACTCATCATCCCTCTATGCCTCCTGCCTAACCCATACAGACGGACACACTGGAGGACCTGGAGGAGTGGAAAGACACGGTCAAGGACGCCATCTGCTAGTGTACCCTAAACCCTAAGCTCCTACTCCCATATTCCCGTCACCCCCCCGCCCTTCCCAATCGCGCTCAGACGGACACACTGGAGGACCTGGAGGAGTGGAGGGACGCGCTTGAGGACGCCATTTCCAAGGCGCCTCCACCTTCTGTGATGATGGGTCTGCCCCGTGACACACTCTTTAGAGGAGATGGGCTTGATATAGGGGACAACGACGGCCCCCCAGGACCAGGTACGTGCTCTCTCTCCCACCTAGTTCTTGGCTCAGCCATGCATGCGAGCATAGCTGTTCCTTCCATCCGCCATCTGTCATGATGGGTCTGCCCCATGATACGCTCTTCCGAGGGGATGGGCTTGACCTAGGCGACGGGGCTCCAGGACCAGGTAAGTGTTTTTTTTTCTTTGGCTTGTTGCAGTCGATGTCCCCCCACAAGACCACGTCCTTGCCTTCCGTCCTTGCCCTGGGCTCCGTCATGCATGTGCTGCGCTGCACGCTGCTGTGCCGCCCCACCCCTTCTCCCCTCTCGCGCACCTGATTCCCTCGCCTCTCCGCCATCTCCCCGCCCCCATTATTCCCTCTTCTCTCCTCGCCCACGCTCCCATCCACCAGGCAAGGAGCGGCGGCTGCGATCCATGCTGCTGTGCCGCCCCTTCTCCCTCGCGCTGGAGGACGTCAACGGCTCGCCCTCTTTCCTTGAGAAGGCCCTGCAGTTCATAGAGGTCCATGGTGAGTTGCTCTGGCCCTGCTCACTCTCGTCTCATGTGTCCTCAGTCCTCCTCTTGAGTGCCCTTCATCTAGAGACAGTCAACAACGGCTCGCCCTACTTACTCTACAGAGCGCTGCAGTTTATTGAGATGCTCACGGTGAGTCTCATGGCCTTGTGCTCGCTCTCATGAACCTCCTCTCTGTGCCCTCGTCCTCTTCCCTCTGCTGGCAGGAGTGAAGCTGGAGGGCATTCTGCGAGCAGCAGCGGACGTGGAGCAGGTGGAGAGGCGTTTGAAGGAGTACGAGGAGGGGCACACGGAGTTTGAGGACGGGGAGAGCCCACACGTCGTGGGCGACTGTGTCAAGGTGGGTGACTCGTTGCTTGGTTGGTGGCATGGGCTGTTGCAAGGTGGGCTGCCCCTGATTACTCGGACTTCCTTTTCCACCCCTCCCACTCTCCCCCCCCCGCCCCTTTGCAACTCCCACCCCCCCCTCCTCTCCCTGCCCTCTTTCAAGTCGAGTCAGAGATCCCCCTCTCCTCTCGTCATCCTCCTGCTCCAGCGCCTCCTCTCGTTTCCCTTCCTAACCACTCAACGCGCATCCCTCATTCCCCCTCATTCTCATCCCTCAACGCGCATCTGCAACCCCAGCTTGTCCCTCGGGAGTTACCAACGTCGCCTGTGCTGCCATATGCCTACACCACACCACCCACGAGCTAGCCGCTCGTAAAAGATATTATAAATTCAATTTCCCACCTCCCCCTCCATGTGTTCGCATCCCCAGCTTGTCCTTCGGGAGTTACCAACGTCCCCTGTGCTGCCATATGCCTGCACCGCCCTCGATCAAGCCTTCCGTGAGCCCCCATGCTTCCAGAACCTGAGCATGCCATGCTCTCTCAGAACCCCCAGCACTCTTCGCGTGGATTTTTCAGTCCAAATTCGTCTCCCGTCTTGCCTACAGTCTCTTCTTACTGTTGACATTTGCCCCCTCCCCCTCCGAACCTTTCCCCTCGCCCCTCCCCCAAACCCTTCTGCAACACTCTCCTCTACCCTTTTCACCACTCCTCCTCACCACCCTTTCCAACCACCCCCCCTTACCACCCTTCCCCACCACCCTTCCTTCCCACCACCACCCTCCCCCCCACTTCAGAGCTGGACGAGGCAGAGGCGAAGCTAGAGGCGGTGCGCAATGCCATGCTCAACCTGCCCGAACCCAACCGGCGCCTGCTGCACCGGTATCCATGGATGGGCATGGGCATGGGCTATGGGCTGTGGTGTATGCTGTATGGGAATAAGGGTGTGATGGGTCATGGGGCATGGGTTATTGGTCATGGCCATGGGGTAAAGGGGATGGGGTATGGGGCATGGGGTATGTGGGTGGGGCATTGTATGCTCATGAGTGTGGGGTTCAGCTAAGTTTATTTTTCAAAGCCAACTGGTTCCGCTGCCCCTATCCCTGCCTCCGCTCGTCTCTCCTCCCTTACCCTCCTCCTACAGTGTTTTGAATCAATGATCGCTATAACCAACAACGAGGCAGTCAACAGAATGAACGCCTCTGCCTGACTCCCTCTTCTGCTTCCACCTGCCCCCTCTCCTTGCCTCCGCTACCCTCCCCTCCCCTCATCCCACAGTGTGCTGCAGACCATGATTGCTATAACCAACAACGAGCCAGTCAACAGGATGAACGCCTCCGTCGTGACCCTCTCTGCCCCTTCCCTCTGCCCCTTCCCTCTGCCCCTTCCCTCTGCCCCTTCCCTCTGCCCCTTCCCTCTGCCCCTTCCCACTGCCCTTTCCCTCTGCCCCTTCCCTCTGCCCTTTCCCTCTGCCCTTTGCCTCTGCCCTGTCCCTCTGTGTCCACTCCTCTCCCTATCCCACAGTGTGCTGCAGACCATGATCGCTATAACCAACAACGAGTCGATCAACAGGATGAACGCCTCCGCCTGACTCCCTCTGCCCTTTCCCTCCCCCACCCCCTTTGTCCCACAGTGTGCTGCAGACCATGATCGCTATAACCAACAACGAGTCGATCAACAGGATGAACGCCTCCGCCTGACTCCCTCTGCCCTTTCCCTCCCCCACCACCTTTGTCCCACAGTGTGCTGCAGACCATGATCGCTATAACCAACAACGAGTCAATCAATAGGATGAACGCCTCCGCTGTCGCAGCCTGCATGGCGCCGCTCCTCTTCCGCCCTCTTTTCAGCGGGGAACTTCAAGCATCGTCCAAGGGCGATGACGATGGGGAGGACGGGGCTGCTGCGGCTGCCGCTCAGATCATGGCTCTCACCATGGCCGCCAACCAGGCGCAGACCATGACGATTTACCTCATGGAGAATATCGACAAGGTGTTCGTGGTGAGTGCTACTTGATTCAGCATTGACTGGATGCCTCCACCACTGCAGCTGGTGGTTGCATGCAGCAGCGGCTCAGGTCATGGCTCTTACCATGGCTGCGAACCAGGCTTAGACCATGACGATCATTTTAATGGAAAAATGTCGAAAAGGTTTCGGGTTTCGGGTTTGAGGGGTTCCGGGTTTGAGGGGTTTCGGGTTTAGGGGTCTTTGTGGTGAGTGCTTGGTTGCTTGGCTGCGATGCAGGGCGTGGGCTCTGGGAGTGTGCAGCGGGCGGGGCAGCGTGGGATGGCGAGGAGGGCGAGCTGGTGGACGATGATGACGATGGTGGTGTGCCTACCAACCCTCTCTTCCTCACTCTCCGCATGTTCTCAATCCCCGTTTCGCTCCCCCTCCCCCACCCCATACCACCCCACCCCATCCCTCCCCACTCCACCGCACCTAGGGCGAGGCTCTAGGTCGGGGTCTGGCGCGCGGTGTATACAGCGGGGCAGCATGGGACGATGAGGATGACGAGGAGGGCGAGCTGGTGGACGATGATGGCAATGGTGCTGTGCCTACCTGTCTTCCTCTCCTCCCCCACTCCCTCCCAGGGCGAGGCACTTGGCCGGGGTCTGGCGCGCGGTGTATACAGCGGGGCAGCATGGGACGATGGGGATGATGATGTTGCTGTGCCTACCTGTCTTCCTCTCCTCCTGCACCCCTTTCCCAGGGCGAGGCACTTGGCAGGGGTCTGGCGCGTGGGGTATACAGCGGGGCAGCATGGGACGATGAGGATGACGAGGAGGGCGAGCTGGTGGACGATGATGACGTGGACGAGGACAACGATGACGAGGACAGCGGTGCCCAGGTGGCGGTGCTGGAGGCGTCGCGTCAGGAGCTGCGCGCCTCGCTGGCAAAGGAAGTGCGAGCGAACGAGATGCTCAAGGAGAGTCTGGTGCAGCGGAGGAAGACTCTGCAGGAGCTGAAGAACGCCCTTCAGAGAGACGTGAGTGTGGGTGGGGTGGATTATGCGTGCCTTGTCTGAAGGTGCTGTGCTGAGGCAAGTGTCGGGAGGGGAAGAGATGGCCCAGGGTGGGAAAGTAAGGAAGTGCGGGCGAATGAGATGCTCAAGGAGAGTCTGGTGCAGCGGAGGAAGACGCTGCAGGAGCTGAAGAATGCGCTACAGAGAGACGTGAGTGCACTGAGGGGAGGTGCTGTGCTGAAGGGATGGCCCAGGGTGGGTGAGTAAGGAAGTGCGGGCGAATGAGATGCTCCAGGAGAGTCTGGTGCAGAGGAGGAAGACTCTGCAGGAGCTGAAGAATGCGCTACAGAGAGACGTGAGTGCACTGAGGGGAGGTGCTGTGCTGGGTGCAACTGTCAGGTCAAATAGGATGAAGGGACGGCCCAGGGTGGGTGATTCAGGAAGTGCGGGTGAATGAAATGCACAAGGAGAGTCTGGTACAGCGCAGGAAGACTCTGCAGGAGCTGAAGAACGCCCTTCAGAGAGACGTGAGTGATGGATGGATTTTCAGGAGCATAGGGAGAGCTGTATGTGCGCATGCAGATTGGAAAAAGTCTTTCTTTCTCCTCTCTTTCATTTACTCCCCCAACCACAAACCCCCCTGCCCCCTCCCCCTCCAACCTTGTCCCCACCTTTTCCACCCCTCCCATTTTCGTCTTTCCCAGGCGGCCCAGCTGCGGCTGGACCTGCAGGAGCAGAGGGAGCTGTATGCACGCATGCAGACAGGCATCATCTCTCTGCTACTCCTGACCTCCTTTTCCTCCCTTTCCCCTTGGCCTGTCCTCTCCTCTCTCCCCTGTTTCGTCTCCAGGCGGCTCAGCTGCGGCTGGACCTGCAGGAGCAGAGGGAGCTGTATGCGCGCATGCAGACGGGAATCAAGGGACCCGTGCCTGAGATAGAGCTCGAACCCGAGGTGAGTGTGTGGGATACGTTGAGTTGAGGGGTGGCTTGTGAGTCGACCTAGAAGCTGTATGCACGCATGCAGACGGGAATCAAAGGGCCCGTGCCTGAGATAGAGCTCAAGCCAGAGATGGGTGTGCGGGGGGGTGACTCGCAGAAGTTCAGTGTGTTCGCAATGCAGGCAGCAGAAGCAAGCCGATTCCGCTGAAAAATCTGTGGCCCTCCCGTCTTGGCCCCCTCGTCCACACCCATCCCATGCCCTTGCCCAATCTCGTTTTCTCCCATCCTTCTACTCTTCCGCCGCCATCTCCCTCTCCCATATGTCTGCCCTCTTTTTTCCCTTAATTCTCCCCCCTACCCCACCCCCCTTGCTTTCCCTTCACCCCTTCACCAGCCTCTCCTAGCTGAAGGCAGAGCTAAAGGAGATCGAGTCGCTGGAAAAGTCAGTGGCCCTGCTTCGGACCCTTTTGTTTGGCTCCTGAAGAAGCCTCTCCCTCTCCCGCCCCCACCCCATCCCCGTCCTCCTCCCATTCGTTGCAACTGAAAGCAGAGCTAAAGAAGATTGAGTCGCTGGAGAAATCAGTGGCCCTGCTTCGCACGGAAACAGAGACTTTGGAGCGGGAGTTGCTGCACGCGAGGCACAAGCAGCAGCAGCTGGAGCAGCAGTGGCAAAAGCAGCCCAGGCACTCTTGTTCCACACCCTTTTTGCCATCCCTACCTGTTTTCTCCTTCAACTTTTCCTACCTATTTCTTTCGCCCTACCCCCCCCCCCCCCCCCCCCCCCCCCCCCACCTCCCCCCGATCCCCCCCTACCTCTCCAGCTGAAAGCTGAGTTGAAGGAGATTGAGTCGCTAGAGAAATCCGTTGCCCTGCTTCGCACAGAAACCGAGACTCTTCAGCGGGAGCTGCTGCACGTGACACATAAGCAGCAGCAGCTGGAGCAGCAGCAGAAGCAGCAGCAACAGGCGGGTGTGGCAGCAGGAGGGGGAGTGGGAGGAGCGCCCCTGACTGGGGCGAGCGCAGAGCAGCGGCAGCGGATTGAAGCGCTGCGGTCGCTGCGGGCGCAGCTGAAACAGGAGCTGGATAGGACCATGGCCATGTGTCTTGAGGAACAGCAGAAGAACGCTGAGGTGAGTCATGGGGAGGGGGGAGAAAGGGTGAGATCAGTGACAGGAAGGCAGCGGATTGAGGCTCTGTGGTCGTTGAGGGCTCAGCTGAAACAGGAGCTGGAACGAGTAATAGATGGGTAATCAAACACCTTTAGCACGCCTAGTTTCTAGAGGATAGCGTCTTGTCCCGTGCTTTTTTCCGTCCTCTCCGCATCCCCTCCACCTCCTCCTCCCGCTTCCTCTCCCTTCCCGTTCCCCCTCTTACAACCCTCAGCTGGAGGAGAGGCGGCGACAAGACGACCCAGTGGCATTGGAGCAAGCAATGATGCGAACTTCCCAGAGAATCAAGTAGCACAAGAAACTCCCTGACTCCCTCCCGCCCCCGCCCCCCCCTCCTCCCCCCCTCGCCCTTATCATCCCGTCTCTCAGTTGGAGGAGAGGCGGTGGCAGGACGACCCCCCAGCCCCCTTCAAGCCCTGGGTGTTTCCTTTCCAATGCCTCCACCTTTTCCTCCCCATACCTTTTGCCCCGCCCTTATCATGCCCTGTGTCAGTTGGAGGAGAGGCGGCGGCAGGACGACCCAGTGGCGTTGGAGCAAGCAGTGATGAGACAGAAGGCAGCCGTGCAGCAGGCTCAGGTGAGAGAGGAACAGCAGCTGTGCACCTGGTGCAGGCGTGGCAGAGGGGCCAGGTTAGACGACTGATGAGTTTTGAGGCGACTAAAAAATGGTGTTGGAGCAAGCAGTGAAGCGGCAGAAGGCAGCCGCGCAGCAGGCACTGGTGAGGCAAGCAGTGATGGACAGAAGGCAGGCCTGCAGGAGGCGATTTTTTCAGACAAAAAAAATATGGAGCATGTTCAGGTGAGAGAGTGAGGCAAGCCGTGCGCGTGTCTCTTCTTTTCAACCTCAGCCCTCCCACCGCTGTCCTCCTCCCCCCCGCCACCCTCCCTCTATCTCACCCCCTCTCATCCAGGCATTGAGGCTGAAATGGCAAGGGGCGAGGAGTTGAGGCGCAAGCTGCAGCTGGCCCAGAAGAACTGTCAGGCGTCTCACAAGCCCTCTCTCTCTTCCCCCTATCCCATCTCCCACTCTTCCCCCTCCCTCCTGTCCCTCTCCCCCAGGCTGCGTTTGAGGCTGAAATGGCAAGGGGCAAGGAGTTGAGGCGCAAGCTACAGCTGGCTCAGCAGAGGGCCGCTGCTGCTGCCCTTGCCAGTGCCAATGCCGCTGCAGGCTCGGGAGGCTCCGGCTCGGCCGAACCTGCAGGCCAGGCCGGGCAGCAAGGCTCGGCCGAGGCTGACGCCCGATCCGCACCTGATGGGGAGGCTTGTCCAGCAGGTCCGTCGGCCGCAGCTGCAGCAGCGGCAGCAGCAGCGGTGGCTGCAGCAGGGGGAGCTGGTGAGCCTCCCTCAGCAGCGGCTGCTGCTGCTGCCTTTGCTGAGTTGACTGCCAGGCTTGAAGAATTCAAGCGGCAGCGTGCTGTGCTGATTCAGCGCCTCGCTGCGCTGTCCAATGAGACGGTGCCAGGTGGCCCACAGGGAATGGCTGGGGCTGGAGGGCCGAGGGTGCCTCAGTTGTCAAGGGATATCCCAAGTCACTGAGTGGGGCTACGTGCAATTACCGTAGTGGGGGCCTAGGGAAACCACCAGGGGTGATGTGGGTTGAGTGGAGTACGAGGGGAAATGGAGGATGAGGTCAAAGAATCACTTTCTTTGTCGTACACGTAAGCTACCGTAGTAGCAGCGCTTCAAAACAGGAGGCAAGGAGTGTAGCACTTTCGTTTCAAAATTGTCTGTAGATCAGCCATCATCCTCATTCCTGACAGTAGTACCGGTAACAGAGTAGTACCATATGAGAGTGTTATGGCAGTAGATTTACTTCTCCAGCAGCTGTGCCTAGTTACCGTATTCTCTGTCAGATACCTGTGGACTTTTCTCTTGAGTTACCGTACTGCCATGTAAAATTCATTACCTACTTCAATTCAAACATTTCTTCAGCATGCTACCAGCCTGCCCATTGTAAGGAATCTTCCTGAATTCCTTATCGGGGTTGACTGCTACGCGTACAACCCGATTTTCGGACTTTGCACGTTCGGCCGATTTCAACTCTGCCGAGGCTCCTCGCGTCGCCTTCGGCATTTTCCATCGCCAAACCTCGCTCGTCCGAGGTTTCCTCCTAGCTAGGCTAGCTCCTACATTAGTGTGTTCCTTCATTGTATTCTCAGATTAGTTAATCACAGTCTCGTTATTCATTTACCTGCGCACTCTCTTTTACAACTCATAACACCTGGTATCAGAGCTACTTTCCTAGTTCACCCCGCTTTTCCGAGGGTAGTTTGGTGGCATAGGGTGTGGCAGGTTTAGTGACTACACGACGGTTGGCCGCAGGGATTGTTAATTCAATCCTGCCCGACTCCGATAGTTGGTGTTTTCACTGGCATGAAGGCCACGGAGACCCGACTGCCCACCAGACGTAGCGCTAGGCACATGGATTAGGAGGCGGTTAACAGGATGATGGCACAAGTGGCAGAAATGCAGGAGAGCATGAAGACATTAATGGCGGAAGTGACAACACTGCGTGAAGAAAACGCCGAGCTATGCCAGACGCGAGGTGAAGCGCGTCACGTGTCGCCCGGGGACGAGGGCGAGGGCAACAGTCAAGCGGTGAGCAATCCCTTGGACGCGCTCACACATGACTTCGAAGAGGAGGATAGGCAGCGAGCAGCAGCAGCGCCAGTTGCAGTAACGACGATTAAGATCAAGCCCGTCAACCCGCCCCCGTTTAATCCTACGGACCAGACGATTACAGTAAAAGGGTGGCTGTTCGGGGTCGAGGTCTTCTTCACTGCAGCAGGAATTAATGACGATGCCACACGTATTAATTACGCGGTTTCGCTTCTTCGAGGTGCAGCGCTTGAGTGGTGGCGCCGAACCTTGGAAAAGGGGACGCCGACAGGTGTAACGCATGCGGCAGACGGGACCTCAACAGTGACTAATCAAGTGGCACAATCGATCTTCGGAGTGACCACGATACGCACGTGGAAGGAGTGGGGCACAGCCTTACGAGATCGCTTCGAGCACGTATCCACCTCGGAGCAAGCTCGCATGAAGCTGCGTACATGGTCGCAGATGGCTTCTGTCCAAGACTACACGGCATCATTTATGGGCATCGCCGACCAAGTTGATGATATGTCGGAAGCTGAGCGGTTAGATAAATACATCAGCGGCCTCAAATACGAGATACAGTACGAGGTTCGCAGGGGCCGCCCGACATCATTTCTTGAAGCAGTACGACTGGCGGAGTCTACAGATGTGCTAATGCAGTACGCGAGAGCAACTTCTAGGGATGGAAACCGCTTTCGTGGCCAGACCCATCGGGTCACGATCAACGCCGTCCATACACCCGACCGCCCTCCTAAGGGACCGTGTTACCGGTGTGGGAAGACGGGTCACTACATGAGAGACTGCCACGAGAAAACGCCGCTGACGGGGAACGACAAGAAGGAGCAGGGAAATGGGAAGAGTCAGTAATTAGCGGGCCCTTTACTGACTGTGCTCTGTCGCCCGAACCCCACCATCCCCACCGAGTCGTGGTTCCGATTCATGCCATCGATCGCACTCGGCCGAATAACGAGGATACACATGTGGATCACCCTGTGCTGGTCGCTGGCAAGGTGTTAAAAAATAATTTGAAAATGTTTGTCGACGGAGGGGCCGGCCATAGCCTCTTCAATCTGGCGAGCGCAAAAAAATGCAAGCTGCAACTTGACAAGTGTCTGCCCAAAATTGACGCCCGCCTTGTGGATGGGACGCCTCTTGCGATAACGGAAGAAACACGGACGGTCAGGATCGAATGCGGCGACGATTTCGGCTTCAGCATGGAGTTCCTTGTGTCACAGAATCTATTGGTAAGAACAATATATTCAGTTACGTACGCTAGTATGGTGTAGAGTGGTGTACAAGTGGGTTATGTAACATTGCCAAGGGGGGTTGTTAGGGTCCAGGGGAGTAACGCGAAGTTGGTAGCAGTGGGAATTGCGAAGTGCTGTAAGAGGAGCTCAGGGAGCCTCGAGGGACAGGAAATCGGCATTGGCCAATCCAAGGCCTCAGCGACTCGAACCTAACCCAGTCTGTCAAGCAAATCACGACTTGGGAAGGACAATAAGTAGCCTAGCCTAGCACAGACAAATCCGTTCTCTCGTTTGTTTGCCTAAAATAGTGGATTTACGTTGCCGTTCTAACCCTACAGAAGCTAGGTGACTAGGCCACTAAGGGCAGCCATCGTGTGGGAGCCAGAATCTTTCAAAAACGAGAGAAGGAAGATCGGGCAGAATGGACTGCCACAAGCTGCGCTGGCAGCAGGTAAACTCGCGTCGGGAATTTTCGCCGTCGCGGAGGTTGCGCTCACTGGAGCGCGGGAGATCGCGGACGCGTTCGCCACGAAGGGCGGCGTACCGCATGGATCTGGTGTCTGACGGACGTCGAGAAGGAGGCGAGGACGATCTGCACGCGGGATTGGAGCCCAGGCCTCACCCGTCCAGCAGCGGCCCTTGGAATCTGGCGCGCGGCCAGCAAGGAGAGGGTGGCAGGCGTCGCGAAGACGCAGATGTGGTGGACTCGTCGGATTCGGCAAGCAAGGCCGACGGCAAGGAGGAAGCAGACGAGATCCTGATGGCGCGGGATGGTAAGAAGGACGACGTCGCGGAACAAGAGCGCGGCGAATGGAGCAAAGACGCAGGCAAAGATGGCTCGCTGGTAGGGATGCGCGGAGGCTGCGCGAAACAGCGCAGGAGCGCGGATACCGGTCTCTCAGCGGACGAATTACGTGAGAGCGGCGCGGAGGCAGATCGCGCGCCAGGGGAGGTGCGCGGGAGTGGCGCAAGGCGCCAGGGGAGCAGCGCGGAGGCAGTTCGCGCGCCAGGGGAGGTGCGCGGGAGTGGCGCAAGGCGCCAGGAGAGCAGCGCGGAGGCAGTTCGTGCGCCAGGGGAGGTGAGCGGGAGTGGCGCAAGGCGCCAGGGGAGCAGCGCGGAGGCAGATCGCGCGCCAGGGGAGGTGCGCGGGAGTGGCGCAAGGCGCCAGGGGAGCAGCGCGGAGGCAGATCGCGCGCCAGGGGAGGTGCGCGGGAGTGGCGCAAGGCGCCAGGGGAGCAGTGCGAAGGCAGTTCGCGCGCCAGGGGAGGTGCGTGGGAGTGGCGCAAGGCGCCAGGGGAGCAGCGCGGAGGCAGATCGCGCGCCAGGGGAGGTGCGCGGGAGTGGCGCAAGGCGCCGCAAGAGCAAGGAGAATGACCGCGCGACAGGGCGCATGCGTGGGGAAGGCGGACCGCCGGAGCCACAGCCGGAAACCGAGAGGAGGAGGTGTATGGAGATGGGAGCTCGACGATCGCCAGAGCCGTGGGACGAGGAAGAGGATAGACGAGAGCTGCGAAGGCGGAATGCACTACCATGGGAGGTACCTGAGGAGGAAACCAGGGGGAAGGCAGAAAAAGAGGAGCTAAGAAGGAGAAATGACGAGCAATACAGAAGGAGGGAGAGGTCGCCTGAAGGGAAGACAGGAAGTGAGAAAGAGGAGTATGAGCGAGGGAAACCAGCGGGTCGAAAGGGACCTAATGCATGGGAGCGAGAGAGGATGTATCAGGAGAACGTGCCTGAGAAGAAAGAAGGGCGATGGGAGGAATCAGAAAAGCGGAGGGAGGCTTATGAGGGTGAGCGAGGAAGGAGTCCACTGGGGCCGAGGAGGCCATGGCAATCAAAGGAAGCTAGAGCAGCCCGGGAGGGGCTAGAGAGAGTGTTGTACGGGACGAGCTCGGGGAGAAGAAAGGAGCAGCGTAGACGGCAAGAGTTGACGCCTGAGCATGACAAGGAAAACGAGGAAGGAGAGTGTGGCAGACCTGCACGCTACGGATTTGGCCGAAGGGAGAAGCCATGGGAAGAATATTCCCCTGAAAAGAGAGAGAGTCCGGGGCGGGAATCAGAGGGATATAGGGAGACTCGTGAGAGAGAGCGGGGAAAGAGCCCAAGTCAGAGCTGACAGGGAAGGCCGCAGCAGTCATGGTTGGGCGCGGGAGGAGCCAGGGCAGCCAGGGAAGGAATCTATCGAGTGCTGTATGGGACAAAGTCAAGGAGCAGGGAGTCGAGGGAAAGGAGAGGAGAGAGTAGCAGGAGGAATGAGATCTCAGGGACTTGGGAGATGGGAAGGTGGAGTGTGCAGGCCCCACCTCAGGTGGAGGTGCCGGTGCGCTTTACGGGGGGAGCAGGATCTGGAAGCAACCTGAAGAATTACCTGATGCAGATCGCTAATGTGAAGTACCGCTGCGATAGAAGCGGGATGGACCCGATAGAGTTTTTCTTAAGCCTACCGAGTACGTTGGGGGGCGCAGCTGAAACGCTGTACCGAATGAAGATGCAGGAGTGGCTGAGGCGGGCAGAGGAGGATGGAGATGATCCCACGACGCTGTTCCTAGAGCGGCTGAGAAAGCAGTTTCCAGGGCACACGGCCGACCGTATCCGAGAGTTTCAGGAGTTTAAGCGGGGTAAGGCACAGTCACTACTCACATACTTTGGGAGGCTCACCAACCTAGCAGAGGATGTGGCCTGCACGGACAG